AAAAATAAAAATAAAAAATATAAAAAAAAAAAAAAAATATATTATATATATAGAATATGATATATATATAATATATATATATATATATATATATATATATATATATATATATATATATGAACAAAAGAATGAAACATATTAGCACGACGTTTAATACAAATTAAAGTTTGTTTAAATATATCAACTTAAAATTGAAACATATTCTTTTATCTTAAAATTTTACTTTTTTACTGTATAAGTTACTTTTATGTGATTAACGTTGTCAACCTTATATGGTGAAATGAGGCTTTAGCATTTTGCATTTTTTGCTTTAAATTTGTGATGTGTATTTAAATTAATTTGAGGAGAATATTAGTTAGTATGTTTGTATAATTTTCTTATTAAAAAACTATTTTCTGTAACCAAATAAGTACTTATTCACCATTTTTAAATATTTAGGTAAATTTATCTAAAAAATAAGAACATACAAAATATAGAAATCACACTAATTAATTATATATCATTCCATAAACAAAATTATTATGAAAAATGAGAAATCACACTAAATCAACGTAAAAAAAAAACAGATAAAACAGTAGCTCACATAGCAGGTAAGACCTATGGAAGATAAGATTATTTACGTATTTACTTATATTTATGAAATAGCTTAAAAAATAAAAACATGAAAAGATTTAATACGATATTTTTTAATGAAAAAAAAAGTTGCAACAGAGATGAGAGATTATTTTAAGGGTGAGTTCAGGGGGATAAAATAAGGTTGGGTGCAGGTTATGGAAAGTGAGATGTGAAAAGAGGGCGCAAGATAGCAAAAGTGCGCGGATGGTGACGCAGTCAATGAGAAGAACACGCGGAGAGAGCACTAACGAACAAGGCAGGAAATAAAAAAGCAGTGGGACCACCACCGAAGGCGTTGACTTTAAGTGGATCAGATTATGGAAATGGATCGAAGCATCATTTCTTATTTTTTTAACTTTTTTTTCCAACGCAGTACGATAAAGCAATAAAGGTTTATTAAGTAAGGTCCAAAGGAGGGAATATTAACAAAGTTCACCTTCATCTCTCGCGCGTAGCATGCACGTTATTATGTTACAAATTTTAGACAAAATTACTCAAACAATGTCATTTTACTTTTTCCAAATCCCACGTTGTTTTTAGAATTAACAAAATGTTTAGATTTAATACCTATTTTTATCTTTATATTCTTAATTTTTATTTAAAATGGTTTTTTAAGTTTTTTTTGACATTCAAAGTAGTTTCTTTTTCAGTAAAATTTGTTTAATTTAATCTTTCGCTCTAAATTGTTAACATCTACGTAAGAAAAACAGAATGAGTTGTCATGCAGTGGAGTTTACACTGACTGGCTCACATAATCATCTTGTCACGTCATCATCATCTTTCCCAAATCAAAATCCTTATTTTTTGTAGGCTTTTGTAATTTAATGAAAGCGATTTGGGGTTTCGTTCCTTACATATGGTTTTACGTCATCAATGAAGGTTGAACGAGTTCAATGGTAGTGCGATTTGAGATTTTGCAGGTTTCCATGGAGGAGACGCGATTTCGTGAACTGGAGTTCATAGCAAATTGGGTTTTTCCGATTTGTGTTGATAATGGTGCGCGAGGAAGATGATGAAGGATGTGCGATCTACTACGATGGAGGATCTTTATTTCGATTTGGGGGCTGAACGCGATTTGCGCGATTTAGGGTTCTGATTCAAAAAGGTTCGTCATTGTTGCTCGAATTATGATTGATGTTTGAAGGAGACTTGGGAATTCAGGGTTTCTTGCACGTTCAATGTTCTGTGATTTTTTGGGTTTCACTTTACAAGTTCTCATGAAGATGGAGTTCTTTGGTTCGTGATGGAGAAGATTAAGATGGTGAGATGTTGATGGTGGCTCTCATGGTGGTTGCACGAGGAGGGAGATGCAAGTGCGACGGTGCATTGCGATTTAGACTTGGTTTGGGTTTGATTCCTTGTAGTGGAGGGTTTCTTTTGCAGATTGAGTTTCTTGGTTAATTTGTGGTGGCTTCCGTGATTGCTAATGACGAAGCCACTATGAGTTCTAGTGTGTGACAACTCATTCTGTTTTTCTTATACATGGACTCTGCAATTTAGATGTCATTAGCGAAAATGACCAAGTTCAACAAAATTTACGAAAAAAATTACAACTTTGAATGCTGAAAACACGACCACTTTAAATAAAAGTGTTGAATATAGGGACCAAAATATGTATTAAGCTAAATGTTTATTTAAAACTTATATCATTAATTAATCTATTTTTAAGATTACAGGACTTAAATATTTATTTAGTTTTTGAACTTTTTTGCAAAATTAGAATTAATATAAGCGTTTAGTGCGAGTCTGTGCATTTTAAAGCGGTACCATAATTGATAAAATATTAAACGTTTACTACTTTTTTCTTTAGACGTGCTTCTATCAAATATTGTTTATCCTTTTATAACTGACACATCATAGTTTATCTTGCTAGCGTTTAATAAAGATGTTCTAATAAATGCTTCGCTTAAATGTTATACTTCATTAAACGATTTTTTTAAGTGTTGTATGTTAAATTTCAAAACTCGAGTTGATGGACAATCTAATCGATCTAGACGATATTGTCTTAACATCTTCTCACCCACAACCTCTGTAATTAATATAACGTCTTTAGAGGATTATGAGTTATATTCTCTTCATTACTTGTATTTCTTTTTATCATTTATGAGGAGCTAAATCTTCATGTATTGGAGCAAGATGTAAACATATTTGAACTCTCTTGTATTAAGTAATACTTTCATTTATGTATTATTTCTTTTGATCTAGAGTTTCTTAATTGATTTCTATTTAACGTTTATGAATTGATCACTCGTCTTATCTAACTAGCATTATTGAGTGAGAACTGGTCTTAAGTTTTGGTCCAATTACCTATCTTTTGGGCTTCTAGATGTTAGGAATAAATCTAGGGTGGAGTCTTAATCTTAAAGCATGTGAGTTGTTGAAGCAGTTGTTGAGGAATCACAGTAAAGGTGGCGATCCTAGGCTTTAGGTGTCAGGAATGGACCTAAAGCTGACGCCTAGAGCTACACCTAAGCAAACTCCCAAGAATTGATCATTCGAAGCTGCATGTTTGAAGATAGATCTAATACAAGAGAGGGAAAATTTGTGAAGTCAAGATTCAACACGGTTCAACCATTCAAAAGTCACTCACTTAGTAACTTAATCTGATTTCCAATTGATTTTATAACATTTTTACCAATACAAACTTGTTTTCTACACATCAATTGTTTTACAAAGGATCAAAATAGTTAAAACATTGTGTTTTCCACCAAATATCTGTGCATACGATACATGTGTACTATACCAACCAAGTATACTTGTTGGTATATTTCGAATTGCAAATTGCACTCAATAGTAATCTCCTCCAATAATCTTTTAAATACTCTAATATCTTGAAAATATACTTGATTGTTGTGGAGATCTACAAAGATTTAAGAAGATTTTGTCGTATTCAAAAAAATTTGACAAATATTATATTTTGAGATTTACCGATGCAGTTAAATAAGATAATTATTTAAAAATATCAAATAAAATACCCAAAGATATATTTGTCCTAAATTATCTTTTTTCATAAAAATTTATCAATTATCAAAACCTTTTTTCTAGAAGAAGATAGAGAAGACCGCAAGGTCCAATTTTTGTTGTTCGTTCCTCTTTTTAGTTTAGCCATATTGAGTTTGAGAGAGCTAAATTTCGTCCCTTTTTCATGTTTTTCTTGTCTTCTTCATGTAATGCTTGACTTGTGTGATTTTAACAATTTTTTATTCTTGACTTTACCTTTAAAGTGCCATAAAGTTTTAACCAATTTATTTTTACATGTCCATGAGTTTAACTTAGCTACATGATACTAAAACACCTCAAAATATCCAAAGAACACATTTATGTAATAATAAAGTTAGTTTTAACATGTTTTTTTATCTTGTGCTCAATAAACTTAATTATTACAAATTTTAATTAAAACTATTTTTTTAAAAACAAAAACCAATTCAAAATTCAAAATTCAAAATTAAATATTAAATGAGACATAAATATACACTCACTATATGTGAATTGATGATGACTGAGCAAAATAATAAATTATCTATTTTCTTTTCCAGTAGTAATAATACATATTATCTTTCATCTTTTAAAGACTAAATTCACTAGTCTTATTTCACAAAGAGTTTATATACTGTAAGTATAAGTGTCTAAGTTGTAGTGCATAGTTGTCAAAGGCTCAAAGTTTGTCATGTTGCACAAAGTCAGTTTACGGGTTTATATTTTAAGTTCCATCCCCTAATAATGATGTTTTTCTTACACCCGATCACGAGGTGTGAAAGAAAAAAAATAACAAGTGTGATTGGTGACGTAATAATATAAGAGAAAAGAGATATGACCAAGCTATACTTACTCGTAGAACGTTTCTTCAGTCATGGGGTAATTTATCAGGTTTAGATTGAGCAAAATAGATTAATTATACAAAACGAAAAGGTTCCTTCAACTTTGATATGTATAGTTCAAATTTTAATGTATATCACTATGCTTCAACTATGTGGTTGAATTATTATAATCTGAGTTTCTCCAATTGTCAACCCACAAAACATTAAAGTACTATCAGACATTGATACAATGAGAAGGAGACAAGAATATGACCATATTTAATAATGACAAGACACAACTCAACTACGAGAAAACAGAAAATTATTCTAAAATTGAAATATTGCAGATTTGTTTTCACATTCCTATGCACGATCTTCAAACAAGTAAAATGAAATAGTAAACATGCAAGCCAAATCTGTATATTTTTAATGATGCAACTAAACTTATGCTGCTTTAACTTAAAAAGGTTTTACTGGTTATCAAAGCTGGTTTACATGAGGTTTGCAAGTAAAAAGAGTAAAATGTTATAGCTATAATACTTCAGGGTTAAAAATCACATTAGGACAGAAAAGGGAAAAGGAAGTAACAAATCATCAATATGAAATCCTTCTGAAAATGATTTGCGCCCCACACTGAGGCTGCAAAGTGATAAAAAGTACAGGAGCATGAACATAGTTTGGAGATAGCACAAAACTGTAACTTTGAATGATCAAAGAAAGAGCAATCTTTGCCTCAACCATTGCCAAATTTTGCCCAACACAAGTTCGAGGGCCTAATCCAAAAGGAATGAATGCAGCTAAATGTTTCCGAGGCTCGCTAAATCTTGTTGGATTGAAGTTATGGCAATCTTCACCCCAGATTTCTCTGTCATGATGAACAGCAGTCAATGCCAAATAGAGTTGAGTCTTAGCAGGAACATTAATGCTTCCAAGCATCACATCTTTAGAGGCTTGCCTCATTAGCATCACTGCTGGAGGATAGAGCCGAAGTGTTTCGTTAATTATCATGCTAACCTGTTGGGAAATGTCAACCAACAATAATCAATGAAAATGGACCATAATTTTGCACTCAAATATTAATTATTCTGTGATCTAAATTGTTTGGTTCATTCTGTCTCCCACAATATACTACACTATTTTACAGTTCTTAACCATATTCCTGATTCATTGTTGTTGAAGATTCCACATCAATTAGATATATAAGTGCAAACCTAACCGAGTTGATTAGATATATAAGTGCAAACCTCACCAAATTGATTTTATAAGGTTGAGTTGACTTAAAATATACTTTTTAAGATGGTATCAAAGTCATCTAAAGTTTATCCTAACGAAATTTGTTGATTGTTAAACTTATTGCGCCATCCACTGTCAGTCTATCATTAGCATCTAATTCTATACTCGAAATGTAAATGTCTCAATATATATGAGTAAGGTGTGTTAAAAATCTCAAAGTTAGAGAAAATCTCATCTTCTAAACTGGTTTTGTAAGATTAAATTATGCTTAAAGTCTAGTTAAGAAAGTTAAATCATAAATTTTCATTTATGTTTCTATCTCCATGTCCAAACTTTTTTGCATCTCTGATTCAATTTATAATGGTTACGTAGCATCTAGATTGAATCTTGATAGTAGATCAGTTGACTAACAGGCAGAGACATCTATCTATGATCTAACCAGTATTCAACAGAGTAAATGTATTGTAATATTCATTTCAACAATAACAAATGCATTGTACTGATTCTCTTGACGGAAAATCAAACAATAGATGAACTTACAATCTTAAGGTCGCTTAAATTGTCCGCAACAGGAAGTTGATTGTGTTTAATAACACGAAGAACTTCTTCACGTGCCTTACTTTGCCATTCCTGATGTTTTGCTAATAGAAGAAGTGTCCAAGTTAACAAGTTAGCTGTAGTTTCCTTCCCAGCAAAGTAGATGGTTTTACATTCATCTATAATTTCTTCCACCCTTAACTTTTCTTCTCCACCAACCTCATTCTTGTAGGAACACATCAAAGAACTTAGTACATTTCTTGCATTTTCTCCCGTGTTGCTCTTGGTCTCAATAAGCTTCAGAATTGATTCACGTGTTTCTTTTTCTAGTCTCCGCCTCTCCCTGTTCTTCCTAGTTGGCAAAAACCTATTGTTTCGTTTTTCAAACACTAAAACTCAATTATTATGTCTGAAGAGGGAAAAATACCTGGTATGACATGAACTTCATTTGGAGAAAATACCAGTTCTGGAACAAAATATTCATATGCAATTTACTTCTCATCTTAAATTAAGCTAAAGCAAGTTTTCAATGGAATAACCTACCTGTTATTTCACTACTAGTACAGTACTCTTGAAAGTCTCACGTCAACTAAAAGTAATGTCAATTTATAATATACAGTGAGTGAAAAACTCACTTTACAAGCCGATTTTATAGGGTTAAATTAGACTTAAAAGTCCACTCCTTAACAAATACAACAAATTAAGTTGTGATGTTATTTTTTATTAGCAAGGCTTGTCCTGAGGAAACATAGGTCTGGTAGCAGGTTTGTAGTTTGATATATATATATATATATATATATATATATATATATATATGAACAAAAGAATGAAACATATTAGCACGACGTTTAATACAAATTAAAGTTTGTTTAAATATATCAACTTAAAATTGAAACATATTCTTTTATCTTAAAATTTTACTTTTTTACTGTATAAGTTACTTTTATGTGATTAACGTTGTCAACCTTATATGGTGAAATGAGGCTTTAGCATTTTGCATTTTTTGCTTTAAATTTGTGATGTGTATTTAAATTAATTTGAGGAGAATATTAGTTAGTATGTTTGTATAATTTTCTTATTAAAAAACTATTTTCTGTAACCAAATAAGTACTTATTCACCATTTTTAAATATTTAGGTAAATTTATCTAAAAAATAAGAACATACAAAATATAGAAATCACACTAATTAATTATATATCATTCCATAAACAAAATTATTATGAAAAATGAGAAATCACACTAAATCAACGTAAAAAAAAAACAGATAAAACAGTAGCTCACATAGCAGGTAAGACCTATGGAAGATAAGATTATTTACGTATTTACTTATATTTATGAAATAGCTTAAAAAATAAAAACATGAAAAGATTTAATACGATATTTTTTAATGAAAAAAAAAGTTGCAACAGAGATGAGAGATTATTTTAAGGGTGAGTTCAGGGGGATAAAATAAGGTTGGGTGCAGGTTATGGAAAGTGAGATGTGAAAAGAGGGCGCAAGATAGCAAAAGTGCGCGGATGGTGACGCAGTCAATGAGAAGAACACGCGGAGAGAGCACTAACGAACAAGGCAGGAAATAAAAAAGCAGTGGGACCACCACCGAAGGCGTTGACTTTAAGTGGATCAGATTATGGAAATGGATCGAAGCATCATTTCTTATTTTTTTAACTTTTTTTTCCAACGCAGTACGATAAAGCAATAAAGGTTTATTAAGTAAGGTCCAAAGGAGGGAATATTAACAAAGTTCACCTTCATCTCTCGCGCGTAGCATGCACGTTATTATGTTACAAATTTTAGACAAAATTACTCAAACAATGTCATTTTACTTTTTCCAAATCCCACGTTGTTTTTAGAATTAACAAAATGTTTAGATTTAATACCTATTTTTATCTTTATATTCTTAATTTTTATTTAAAATGGTTTTTTAAGTTTTTTTTGACATTCAAAGTAGTTTCTTTTTCAGTAAAATTTGTTTAATTTAATCTTTCGCTCTAAATTGTTAACATCTACGTAAGAAAAACAGAATGAGTTGTCATGCAGTGGAGTTTACACTGACTGGCTCACATAATCATCTTGTCACGTCATCATCATCTTTCCCAAATCAAAATCCTTATTTTTTGTAGGCTTTTGTAATTTAATGAAAGCGATTTGGGGTTTCGTTCCTTACATATGGTTTTACGTCATCAATGGAGGTTGAACGAGTTCAATGGTAGTGCGATTTGAGATTTTGCAGGTTTCCATGGAGGAGACGCGATTTCGTGAACTGGAGTTCATAGCAAATTGGGTTTTTCCGATTTGTGTTGATAATGGTGCGCGAGGAAGATGATGAAGGATGTACGACCTACTGCGATGGAGGATCTTTATTTCGATTTGGGGGCTGAACGCGATTTGCGCGATTTAGGGTTCTGATTCAAAAAGGTTCGTCATTGTTGCTCGAATTATGATTGATGTTTGAAGGAGACTTGGGAATTCAGGGTTTCTTGCACGTTCAATGTTCTGTGATTTTTTGGGTTTCACTTTACAAGTTCTCATGAAGATGGAGTTCTTTGGTTCGTGATGGAGAAGATTAAGATGGTGAGATGTTGATGGTGGCTCTCATGGTGGTTGCACGAGGAGGGAGATGCAAGTGCGACGGTGCATTGCGATTTAGACTTGGTTTGGGTTTGATTCCTTGTAGTGGAGGGTTTCTTTTGCAGATTGAGTTTCTTGGTTAATTTGTGGTGGCTTCCGTGATTGCTAATGACGAAGCCACTATGAGTTCTAGTGTGTGACAACTCATTCTGTTTTTCTTATACATGGACTCTGCAATTTAGATGTCATTAGCGAAAATGACCAAGTTCAACAAAATTTACGAAAAAAATTACAACTTTGAATGCTGAAAACACGACCACTTTAAATAAAAGTGTTGAATATAGGGACCAAAATATGTATTAAGCTAAATGTTTATTTAAAACTTATATCATTAATTAATCTATTTTTAAGATTACAGGACTTAAATATTTATTTAGTTTTTGAACTTTTTTGCAAAATTAGAATTAATATAAGCGTTTAGTGCGAGTCTGTGCATTTTAAAGCGGTACCATAATTGATAAAATATTAAACGTTTACTACTTTTTTCTTTAGACGTGCTTCTATCAAATATTGTTTATCCTTTTATAACTGACACATCATAGTTTATCTTGCTAGCGTTTAATAAAGATGTTCTAATAAATGCTTCGCTTAAATGTTATACTTCATTAAACGATTTTTTTAAGTGTTGTATGTTAAATTTCAAAACTCGAGTTGATGGACAATCTAATCGATCTAGACGATATTGTCTTAACATCTTCTCACCCACAACCTCTGTAATTAATATAACGTCTTTAGAGGATTATGAGTTATATTCTCTTCATTACTTGTATTTCTTTTTATCATTTATGAGGAGCTAAATCTTCATGTATTGGAGCAAGATGTAAACATATTTGAACTCTCTTGTATTAAGTAATACTTTCATTTATGTATTATTTCTTTTGATCTAGAGTTTCTTAATTGATTTCTATTTAACGTTTATGAATTGATCACTCGTCTTATCTAACTAGCATTATTGAGTGAGAACTGGTCTTAAGTTTTGGTCCAATTACCTATCTTTTGGGCTTCTAGATGTTAGGAATAAATCTAGGGTGGAGTCTTAATCTTAAAGCATGTGAGTTGTTGAAGCAGTTGTTGAGGAATCACAGTAAAGGTGGCGATCCTAGGCTTTAGGTGTCAGGAATGGACCTAAAGCTGACGCCTAGAGCTACACCTAAGCAAACTCCCAAGAATTGATCATTCGAAGCTGCATGTTTGAAGATAGATCTAATACAAGAGAGGGAAAATTTGTGAAGTCAAGATTCAACACGGTTCAACCATTCAAAAGTCACTCACTTAGTAACTTAATCTGATTTCCAATTGATTTTATAACATTTTTACCAATACAAACTTGTTTTCTACACATCAATTGTTTTACAAAGGATCAAAATAGTTAAAACATTGTGTTTTCCACCAAATATCTGTGCATACGATACATGTGTACTATACCAACCAAGTATACTTGTTGGTATATTTCGAATTGCAAATTGCACTCAATAGTAATCTCCTCCAATAATCTTTTAAATACTCTAATATCTTGAAAATATACTTGATTGTTGTGGAGATCTACAAAGATTTAAGAAGATTTTGTCGTATTCAAAAAAATTTGACAAATATTATATTTTGAGATTTACCGATGTAGTTAAATAAGATAATTATTTAAAAATATCAAATAAAATACCCAAAGATATATTTGTCCTAAATTATCTTTTTTCATAAAAATTTATCAATTATCAAAACCTTTTTTCTAGAAGAAGATAGAGAAGACCGCAAGGTCCAATTTTTGTTGTTCGTTCCTCTTTTTAGTTTAGCCATATTGAGTTTGAGAGAGCTAAATTTCGTCACTTTTCCATGTTTTTCTTGTCTTCTTCATGTAATGCTTGACTTGTGTGATTTTAACAATTTTTTATTCTTGACTTTACCTTTAAAGTGCCATAAAGTTTTAACCAATTTATTTTTACATGTCCATGAGTTTAACTTAGCTACATGATACTAAAACACCTCAAAATATCCAAAGAACACATTTATGTAATAATAAAGTTAGTTTTAACATGTTTTTTTATCTTGTGCTCAATAAACTTAATTATTACAAATTTTAATTAAAACTATTTTTTTAAAAACAAAAACCAATTCAAAATTCAAAATTCAAAATTAAATATTAAATGAGACATAAATATACACTCACTATATGTGAATTGATGATGACTGAGCAAAATAATAAATTATCTATTTTCTTTTCCAGTAGTAATAATACATATTATCTTTCATCTTTTAAAGACTAAATTCACTAGTCTTATTTCACAAAGAGTTTATATACTGTAAGTATAAGTGTCTAAGTTGTAGTGCATAGTTGTCAAAGGCTCAAAGTTTGTCATGTTGCACAAAGTCAGTTTACGGGTTTATATTTTAAGTTCCATCCCCTAATAATGATGTTTTTCTTACACCCGATCACGAGGTGTGAAAGAAAAAAAATAACAAGTGTGATTAGTGACGTAATAATATAAGAGAAAAGAGATATGACCAAGCTATACTTACTCGTAGAACGTTTCTTCAGTCATGGGGTAATTTATCAGGTTTAGATTGAGCAAAATAGATTAATTATACAAAACGAAAAGGTTCCTTCAACTTTGATATGTATAGTTCAAATTTTAATGTATATCACTATGCTTCAACTATGTGGTTGAATTATTATAATCTGAGTTTCTCCAATTGTCAACCCACAAAACATTAAAGTACTATCAGACATTGATACAATGAGAAGGAGACAAGAATATGACCATATTTAATAATGACAAGACACAACTCAACTACGAGAAAACAGAAAATTATTCTAAAATTGAAATATTGCAGATTTGTTTTCACATTCCTATGCACGATCTTCAAACAAGTAAAATG